CTGCAATTTCTACAGATAACTTTTTCTAGAAAATCCACTTTTTATAGAACAAAGAAAAAGAAGGGAAAACCCGCTCCATATTCAAGCAAACACCTAGGAGTTATCCAATTGCATCATTACCCTTTATTCATTTACGTAGTCTGTACGAAATGACGCACCAGTAATTATTTATTCCTTTCAAAATTATACAAATATAACATCTTTAGTTTATATCAAAATAACTTACCAAGTAAACTGGGATAAGTCATGATTCATACTATCTTATTTCGATGCGTTGGAGTCAGGATACAGCTCGCCAGCCCGCAATTTTACCACCTTTTTTTAAATTTGAAGTCGTAGGCTTCCGGGGCCAGAGTCATGTGCATGATCTTGGCTGTCCGGGTCACGCCGCGTCAAAGGCTGTGTTGCCGACGTTTCGACAATCTTAGCGCGGTCTTCCTCAGGGCTGGTATGCCATGGGCATGATCTGGTGATATGGGCATACCAGCCCTGAGGAAGATCACGACAAAATGGTCGAAACGTCGGCAACACAGCCTTCGATGCGACCCGGACAGCCAAGATCATTCACTTTTTTTAAATTTGTCCGAAAGTACGAAAACATTTTAAAAATTAGCTTCGGCTATTTTACTTGGAAAAAGAGATCCACCAGATGAACTCTTTAAAGATAAACGTCGTTTAGAGGTTCAAAATCGAGTTGTAGGATAAAAGAGCTTGTGCGTATACTCTGCTCATTCTTTCCTGTATTTGACAACGGAAGATCTTAGAGCAAGGTGGCATGATAACAGAAGACCTTAGTAGTAAAATATATCTAAAATAAGATGTGAGGAGATGGAATAATGGTGATATTTACAGAATTAGTTCATTTTTTTAAACATCAAAATCGGAATCGATATTTTGAGTATTGCCTCAAACAATTTTAAGATGGTATTCGAAGGAAGACGGAAATATATGAAAAAGATAGTTATGTACTACTATTACAGACTGTTTATCACGGTCTGTAATAATAGTATAGCATCTCTATTTTGATATCTGTGGAAAAATAGATTGAGATGCAAAGAGACAAAAGCATAAACCGAGTGTCTTGCTTGCCTGTCCCGCAAGTCCCGCCTCCTCCGCCGGGGCTGGCCGTGCTGCCGCGCCGACAGGGCCCACAACGAGCGGGTGTGTGACGCAACGGCGCGGAAGGGGGAGGGGGGGCGAGGTGTTTACGTAAATTTCACTTTACGACGCTCCTATTCGTCCGATTTGCATGATTGTCAC